GATGGACTGAGTGGTCTTCTCACCTGCCCCCCCTCATCGAAGGCCATGACCACCACAGCAGCTCCATAGCGCTTTATGGTGGCTGCTCTTTGCAGAAACTCCTCCTCTCCTTCCTTCAGACTGATGCTGTTGACGATACACTTCCCCTGACAGCATTTCAGGCCAGCCTCAATCACTGCGAAGTTTGAAGAGTCAATGCACAGAGGAACCTAGAGGAGGAGAGAGGATGGCTATGAAAGCATATGGCTTCGTGCTGACTATAAACCCCTGTAGACTCTACCTTCTTCAGCTATACTCATGACTGTGTGTGGTGGTATCACACAAGGCTGTGATAGTTATGGGACCTCAGCATGATTTGATCATTTCGTTCTACAACTAAAAAATTAATTCTTGTTTCTCCTGATAAGTAGCTCAACAGGTAAATTGGAAAAGCCCATTTTAGAACTGTAGACGTGGATACATCACTAGCAGCTTTAAGCAGTTATGATGTAAAGATGCAGTAACACATCCTGAGACTGTACTGATGTCGCAGCCTTTTGTATAAAACAGTAAGAAACGCTCAAAAAGTGAAAAACACAAAGCAAAGTAAAAAAGTAAAATCTCTCAATATAGAGAATATTCAGGAGAAACTGAGTTGCTATGATAAAAATGAGAAAAAAAAAGAAGTTATTTTTCCCTTTCAATTTTTTTAAACAACCGGAGATGATGGCACCTGGCGTACCTCAAATAATTGTTATTAAAACACATTGTACTTGTGTCAAGCATTGATAATTAACCAGTCTTAATATTATCTGCAAAGTATAACTACCGCAAATATAAACTAAACCCAATATGTTTCACTAATATTAGAACTCTCAGATAAACTGTTCAGACTTAAAACTGAAATGTGGTACTTAAGTCATTTATGAATTTCATTTGTCTTTTTCTTTTGTGCTCGAATATCCTACCCTTGAAATATCTGGCTCAGAGGTAATGAAGTTACAAAATCGAGTCATGGCCGTTTGTCCATCCAACATGCCATCGTCCATGTTTATATCCAAGATCTGGGCTCCCATCTCCACCTGAACCTTTGCAACGTTCAAAGCTTCCTGAATGGCAAACACAAAAGAGCACAACAAATAAACAAATGGAGCACTTGGACAGGTGTATACAGGATCATAATAGAAATCAGAATTACCTCGTACTGTCCAGACATGATCAGCTTAGCAAACTTGCGTGACCCAGCCACATTGCAACGTTCTCCAATATTTACAAAATTGGTGTATGGTCCAATTCTGAATGGTTCCAAACCTAGAGTTTTTCCAAAAACGTTTTCAATTGTTTTCTGGCCCAGCATGGCCACTCACATGGCTTTACAATCATTTCACATTAGGGATCAATCTGAGCATCTTACAACTGACAAATATAAATAACAAGATTGCATCAAATAAGACACTGGATAGAAACAATTTAGTCTGGGTTTAACACCTGAGAGCTGCAGGCAGTCTGCATAAATATCATCATCGGGGATTCTAGGCTGGCCTTGCTTCACTGCTTCAGATATGGCACTATTTAAGAGAGAAATAACAAATACAGTATAACCACAATCAAGTCAAACCTGAATGGAACTAAGGAGAAACATTTTACTGACCTGATGTGCATGGGGGTTGTCCCACAGCATCCTCCCACGATATTGACAAGTCCATCCATTGCAAACTCCTGCAAATACAAGGTACAACAGTCTTAGTGTGAAGGCCTGGGTAGTTTAACTGAACAATAGTGCAAAGTTATTTTACTTTTAAAGTTTCACTGGTAGGTTATAACATTTTCTTTAGCAAAAAAACAAAATAAACAAAAACATGTTTCATGCTTAATGCTTTATATATCTTATGTTTGGTTAAAATTGAGTTCATCACATCAAATGTGTTTTTTTCCATAAAACGGTAATAAGGCTATTTGTAAGTAATGGAAAGTCATATTTAGTGTAACTTTAATTCATCAGTGTTTCCGCTGAAAAAAGAAACAAGAAAGAAGAACCAGGTCAAATGTCTTACATTTTATTGTCGTGGGACTGCATTTTTGAGAGAAACAGAAGACTTTGGAGCTGCTCACTGACATCCTGCTTCAAAGTACTCTGAGAAAAATGACTAATGAGCACTCAGTCCTGTCACTGGTATCACATCAAACATGCTTGTTAGGTTTATTGGAGACTGGAAATTCCCCTTTGGAGTGAATCTGAGCGTGTGTGGATGTGTGTCTCTGTCTGGCCCTGCAATGGACAGGAGACCTGTCCAGGGGGGACAGGTGGATGGATGGAGGGATGGAGGGATGGATGGGTGGAACCCAGAAGAATGCCACACTGTTGTAGGTACATGCATGTACACTAAAGACCGTGGTTGTTACTAATAGAGTTAAAGAGTTCTTCATAGCCCTGAAGACTGCATCACCATTTGCTGGCGTGCAAAAAACAAAAGAATTGCTGTGCATGAATGAGAGAATGTTATCTGTAAGGTACCTCACTGCTTAAAATGCAGTCCATTTTAACATAAGTCAGAACAGTAAATGATTGGAAAAATTCTTACCTTCATTTTTGAGGCCATCATTTGAGGGGTTTCATCATACCCTCCAAATGCGTTGGGAAGACCTAAAAATGAAGGAAAAAAAGAATAAACCAATAACAGCACCATTCTGGCTTTTGTCACAGATGGTGCGACATGATTTAAGCTACAGTTAGTGTCCATCAGTGTTTAAAAAGGTGTGCAAATGAGTACCACTGAACACTGTGAGAAGAGCTAGAGTGTTTAATTAAGATGTAATTGTGTGAAATGAGTGTCAACTACCTGCATTAGGATAACAAATAATGAAAGCTGTAGTGTTTTTTCCAATAGCCTCAATGAAGGGCCTCATTTCTGTCGCCCCCAGGGCACAGTTCAGACCTATACTGCACGGTGATGAGGGACAAAGAGATGCGGTTTGTTTAGTATGGCTGCTCTGTTTCTCTCTCACAGGTGTCCATGCCCTGCTGGGCGTGCAGCCGCTCACCATAGTGGCTTAGCATGGGACAGGCTCACTACAAAGGCTTCTCCTGTCTGCCCAGAGAGGGTCCGTCCACTCCTGTCAACAATGGTCCCCGAGATCTGTGTGGCCAGTGTGACAGGAAGGTCAAATAGAGAGAACCGCTCAGCATCTCACACTGTACTGATGTTAAGGAGCTTTATTTCAATTGTCTTATAAAGGTGGCTGAACCTGTTAAACAAGGCTTAAATGTTACTTTAAATAAGTTTAGTAACTTTATTTACATTTTTTTTCATTATATTTTTATGGATTTCTAAACTACAACAAAACTAAAAATATAGTAAATGAGATACAAACGTACAAAAATAGGCTTTCTTTCGTAGCTCTTTTCAAAAAGCAGCTCAATGGCGAACAAGGCAGCCTGTGAACAGAGCCATGAAACAGTAATGTGGCACATGAACACAAAAAAGTAACATGATCATATTATTATACGTATGAGAAATAATATTTGTATATATCTCTTATACTAAGATTGAACAGTCAGGTTTAAATGCTCCTAAAATGAGTCCTTTTCCACTAAAAATGATGCTTATCTGCCCTCAGTTTTGAGCCATGTGAGCGGTACCTTAGCATTTGCAGTATCAAAAATTGTTTCAACGAGAAGGATATCAGCTCCGCCATCCAACAATCCCCTGACCTGTTCCGAGTAGGCTTCTACGAGCTCATCAAATGCTGGGAGAAACAGAGGGCAGACACAAAAATCCAAATATAAATGACTGCTTAAAATTGTGATATGTTTGTCATCATAAACTACAGGAAAGTCAGCAGCAGAGGACTAGCATGGTGCTGCTATACTTCTGTTTACTTGTAGGTTTCACTAGTATTTGGATACAATAAATGTTGGGCAGCAGCATTATTTAATGATAAGAGGGAGAAAGGACATGGCAATGCACCTAAACATTGTTTAGCAGATTTATGGAGAAAACAGAATTTTTGTAAACACACTGGATTGTGTGGACTTTGGTGCAAAGTCGTAAAACAGTCGGCAGACAGCATTTCACTTTCTGAGTCCCAGCTGTGTTTTCATGAACTGTGCGTCCACTCAGTCTCAGACTTTGCTTCTATCTCCTGAGATATCAGTATGTATATAAACATGAAATTAGCTTTCTGCCACTGGTGTCTCTCAGGCAACACAATGCAAGGTGGAAAAAACAGGAATTAATTCTGACATATCAGACTTATCTGATATCTTTTTGATGCTGTCAACATTTGTGGAAATTTGTCTTCTCTTCAAAACAACTTAATATGGCATTTAATACAAAATAATCAAGAATCAATTGACGATCAGTTCCCATTTAGTGGTGAGAGTAACCGATTGTAAAGGACTGAAAGTGTATTGGTAGGTGTAAATTTGTTTAAACCACTAACCATGAACATAGGAGTGGTGTTGCTGTCAATTATCCCGGTAATTTAGAATCATTAAAGGATAAAGGCTACAACAAAAAGGCTAAAATGTTTTTGTTTTTTTATCTGGACAACCATGTCTTGTAACATCTCATGTTATATAACCTGCTAAAACTAAAAAGCTAAATGCAGGTTTCTGCCTGTCTGTCTGTCTTTATTACATTGTGTTCGTAAAAGTTCAATCACTAATTATCTCTAAGAAAACATGTTGACATTCTCAAAATCATCAATTCATTCGACGGCATTTCTAGAAAAGTTTACTCTTCTGAAGTCACATGACTAATTATCTTACATTTTCAAGCATTTCCCATTCTGAAGCTTCTGAGAACTTTTAAGGGGCTCTAAAAAAAAGTCAATACCTTAAAATCAAAACAAAGCGTAAGTAAACTGGAAGAAAAACTGCAGTCTTACAGATATTCCTGAAATCGGGTCTCTCCACAGACGGGGACACAGAGAGGGTTTTATTGGTGGGACCCAGGGCTCCAGCCACATAGCGTTTTCCACCTGCTCACACAGACACTCATGAGAAAACCCTGCTGCTTCTTCACCATACCACAGTAACGTGAACCATTATGACGGGACATTGCTGACCAGACTGTTTGGTGAAGTCATCTGCTGCCTTCCTGGCGAGTTCTGCTGAAGTCTTGTTAAGGCGGTATGCCTCAACACAAAAAGACAAAAGAGTGCAATGTCAGGATCATGGGCTGTCTAAAATATGACTTATTCAAAACTCGATTTCGGGAAATGACCACTGGAATATTAATCTGTGTGGATAATAGATGTGCACTGATATGTTCCCGTGTGAATGTGCTGTTAGATGCTAGATGCTAATATTGTGACAAGGACTGGTACACGCACAGAAATGTCCTAAAGTCTACCATCACAAAATCAGGTTGAACAGAATCATAGAGCCTCCCATCTCAGACCTGAACTGTTCAGTCGTGTGTTGGGCCTGATGAAGTAGTGCTGGTTTTCAAATTCAAGACCTTAATTTGTCACAAACCAAATGACACATAGTTTAACGCACAGTAGAGTGTGTTGTGCATCTGTTCCACATCATAACGATTACAACAGCAAAAGCTGTAAAAATGCTTTGAAATAATCAGGTTTTTGGGTTGGGTTTTTGGCTGTTCAGGCTAAATAAGCCCCTTAAGTAACACTGTGTACTGTTGTGGCTTTAATGTCTTGGTTTCAATGATAGCTTATGTAGTTAGCAACTAAAAGTGCTTCACGAAGGCATTAAGATAAAAATTAATTCATTGGAAAAATCAAAATCACCTATTATGGAACTTTAGCCTTTCAACAAAAAATAATCTGTTTTCTGTTATTTTTCTTATATTATTACTATTAATTTGATTCTATGCATCTTAAAAACAGGCAGAGAGTTGCTTTATACTGTTATGATACATTTATGATGACATTAACAGTAGTGGCGTTTCAGAGTTATTTCAGACATCTTATTCCTGCGCTTCGCTCCACCTGATCACTGGGATGCACAAGGCTTTCAGCTCAGGGAATTCTAAAATCAGATCTGAGTTTGGACAAATCTACAAACCTGATGTCTACCAGACATCACAGCTCTGGACTAACCCAGTGGCTCTGCGTAGCACGGTTTGCACAGACCCTGCTCTCCTTCCACCTATGGGCATTGGTGGACAACATATAGTGTCCTAAATATAAAGTTTGCTTCTTTGTGTGTTCCTATTGGGTTTTTTTTGTGTGTGAGGACATCAGCTTGACCAAGCAGCTCAAACAACTCACAAAAAAGAACATGGAAGGTGTTTTTCTTTGTTCTGTTTTTTGTCCAGGGTAAAAATGTGTCTCTTTCCACATTAGCAAATACTGTATCTATGAGATCTGAACTAAAAAAACAGAACAACCGAAAGTAACGGCAGGTGACAACAGCTTCAGGGGGAGATCCTAAATGTGTTCAGCACAGTGCATGGATGGATGGATATGGAAATGGAGGTTAGTGGTAAATGAAGCGCATTTGTTCTGACGTGTGCCTAACTAACAGTGCATCTGCAGCATGTGTGGCCAGGCCTACCATGCATTCCAGCCCATAGTCTGCCTGAGCAACCGACGTGCTGCTGAACGTGTTGGTTTCAATGATGTCTGCGCCAGCTTTTAGGTACTCCTTCATAAAGCAGAAACAAAGTTTAAACAAATGCAACTTCCACTCAATGTAAATTAAACTGTGATTTAAACCTCCACTAAATTGTAATTAAAATAAAAAGGATATCCAGAGAGAGTAGCTTCAGGCTATGAGAGAGGCGACCCCTATGTGGATGATGTACCTTGTGTATTTTGTAAATGAGATCTGGCTGTGTGATGCTGAGAACGTCGTTGTTGCCCTTCAGTGGGTGCTTGTGCTCTACAAACTCCTGCCCCCTAAAATCTTCCTCCTCTAGACTGTACTGTTGGATCATTGTTCCCATGCCACCGTCCAGGATCAGGATCCTCTTCTGCAGCAAAGCTCGCAGCTCTGCCTCCAGCGGAGAGCTGCATCCTGGGAAAATACCGAATCAGTCCGTTACAAAGGTTAGAAAGAGCTGGCGGAAGTCAAACATTTCCCAAGCTGATGCAACCTCGGTACTGATTAGCACCATAAGAGAGTCAATACTTCCCAACTTAAGCCTAAGGTTTAACCTCTCACATGTAACGAACACAAAAGCGTGAAATAAATGAGCAGAGACTGTATCCTGTAGACAGAAAACAGCAGACAGATTTAATGCAGCTTACAGGACAGGACACTTCAAACACCGTCCAGAGAAAGAACCCTCCGCTGGACACACGCAGACAACCTTTCATGACAACACATCCCCACTTTTGGAAAAGAAAGCAACACTTACACAGCTATGCTAGAACAGCAGGACACTTCTCCAGAGCTTGAGGCATGCTTTTTCTTGTAATTAAGAAAGCAAAACCATCCCTTTTTATTGTTTATGCTCTTTGCTATTAACAGACTAATTTGATTATAGAGCCATTATTGACAAAAATGAACATAATTAAACCAAAGCAAGATAACCAGAAAGCAATGTTTAGATTACTTAATCAATCATTGAAAAAAAGGTTTTAATAAGAATTTTTTTCCAGCAACGTAATGTAACCTTAACTTCTTAATAACATTACTAGCAGATACACATTCAATGGGTTTCTCTTAATCCAGGTTCAAATGGGTCATTCAATGCCATTTAATTCATTAAAAAAGCATCCATTTACAAAATATATCATTTCTAGATACTTCATATTTGTATTATGTGCATGTATTGTGTGTAAACAGACTGGGTTGTGTGTTTTTGTGCTACATGTAGTGCTGTATAAAGATCAAGTTGTACATACAGTACGTTGTTGTGTACTGATTGTGCTGTGTGCAGATTGTGATGTGTATGTATATGGTGACATATTGGTGTTACACAATTAATTTTTTTATTAAGATCAAAAACATTTAATAACTAGATTTTGACAGAAAATGAATTATTCTCATTATTTTATCCTGTTTGATCCAGCCTATACTACAGTGAATGTAATCACCATAATCTAAAGTTTGAAAAACAACTGGAAATTTAACTCAGGGTTAAAAATAAAATTGTGCTGCACACATGCACATATCTCTGTACTTCATCATGTGATCATCATCATTTGTAATATGGTCAGGTGTTTTTTTAGTTAAAAGAATTCTCAGTTTCTTGTTCAAATTTATTTATTTATTTATACAATTCTGGTGTGCAAAATTTTCTTAGAAATTTCAGCAACATTATTTTTTAAGTGTAGCCCACAGGAGAACATTAACACATAAATTGATTTAAAGCCTTGAACTAAATATGAGTGTAAAACAGCTCTTTGTAAGTAGACCATTAGTCTCTTGAAGTTCCACTGAATGAGAGCAGGAACCAACCTGTTTCTGTACATGCATTCCCCATCAAGTCTGTGCAGTTTTGCATGTTTTTGCAGTGGAGGTCCACAGAAAATATCTGCATGAGCAGAGCGGAGCAGGATCCTAAAGCTGACTTTAACAGGCTTCCTTACTTTTTCCAACACAGCGTTTGACTCAACATCATAACTGGTCACATCCAAAACACTTTTAAACAGCTGTCAAACTGTACATTTGAAGGAAAATGGCTCTCAGTACAGCTGTGACTGCAGCGCCAGATGTTCCTGCGTTAGGGGCCTCTCAGAGTTAGCTTGCTTTAGGGACAACCGAGCTCAACCGGTAGCTGTAAACCCCAAAATGTGAAGGCGGAATTCGAATGAACGCACGTTGAAGACGGCGCTGGTCCAGCCTGGTTGTGGTTTTGACAGCTTAACTGAAGGAGGGCAGACGTTTATGAAGTCCACAGACGTTTCTGAAGTCCACGTGTTGTCCTGACAACACGCAGCTCGGCTAAGCGACGCCGTCATTTTGAGGGGCGCGTTCACATTTCTGCTTTTTTTTTTTTCTGTTTTCACCTCTGAGTTCGACGCATTTCTGGCCCATCTCCACTGTGCTTAACGGGACTAGTGTTCAACTGCCCCTGCACGAGCCTTTTCGCAGCCGGTTTACGCGCCTCTCGTGTGTTTTGATCAGGCATCGCCGCGGTCACCCCCCTCCATTCAACAGTGACAGGAATTTCAGGGCTTGATGTAACACCAACAGACATCGATTAAACACTAAACTGGGTCTAACTATGCTTTTCCCGTTCGACAGTCCGGTTTATCGTGTAATGTGGAGGCAGTAAATGCATTCATGAATATCTGACCAAAAATATCTGTTTTCATATCACTGTTCCCGTCTTCAAAATGTCTGTGATAAATTCGTCTTGGCTACAACTACTTGTTTTTTTACCTGTTTCCAAAGAATACGGATGGCTGGTGTTGGTCGGAGCCATCGTTCCAGTTAAAGAAGAAGCCCTAAAAACCACACGTACACAACGTCTGAAGATCTGGTTGTTAATTTTGTTCACGAAAACTTTTTCTGGACTGAATGTTGGTGTCTTGTTGTTTTATCTGAAGCTGGTGGTCCGCCCACAGTGGTCACGCCATCCTCGTTTCACGCTGACGCCGTGTGCTATCGGTACGATGCATAAGAGTGCGGTTGGACATTGTTTTTTTGGCCAAAGGACAGATGCTCCCACAGCTGACCGCTGCTGCGGTCACTGACAGGCGGAGGAGAGACGATGCCCGAACAGGGAGAGACATGGCGGAAGTCTCCAGCAGTTTACTGCTCTTCTCGTGTCAGTACCGGCTACCACATCGCTTCTGGGATTCTATTTTTTCACCACCAGTAGCCTCACTGGAAAATATGTGTTGAATTTTAATCACATAAGATGATACAACTAAATAGATCTGGTGTGATTTTAGTGTTGATGGTGTCACTGGAACCCCGGTTCTGTTATTGGAAGCCGTGGAACAAGTAATAGGGTCGGCAACAACGATGCGTCGGCGCATGCGTCGAGCTCATAGCCACGCTCACAGAGCTAAACTATCGCTTTAAGAAAGTCACGTGACCCATACAGGAACTGATAGCGCCGTGCCAAACTGTTTATAAGGAAGTTATCTGATGGAGGAAAACAGTACGGAGGAAGGAACCCCTCAAGTTCTAAAGATGATGGTTAGAGAGGAGTTTAAAGTTATTATTTAATTTAAAGAAGAAGATGACAACATTCAGATTGGTCTGACTTCATTTTCAAGAGACCTTAAAGATATTTGTGTTTAAAAAAAAAACTTGTATATGGAATGTATTGATCATTTTAAAAACAGAAGTACAGAAAACCATAGCTTTGAATATTGAAAGTATTGAAAGTATTTGTAATAAAGCTGTGAGAAAAATTATTTTAGGAGAGAAGAAAGTAATAAGGGGTTGATAATAGTGTTGATAACACTATTATATTTAAGGTTCAACAAAACACAACAAAAGAGAACTGAACCTCACAGTGGAGAAGATCATGTTGTTCATTGCGTAGGTGAAAAATCAAGTTAAATACAAAACTGAGAAAAATTTAAATAATAGTTAAAGGAGCACAGAAGCTCTTTGGTATAAAATACATTTAATGGGGACATATGAATAAATTGGGAGGAGATGGAAGACATCAGGCAAGAGAACACTTGATTATATTACAATGGAACGCTAAGTTTAATAGCAAGAGTTTAAAGGATTCATTAAAAATCTTATCCATACAGGGAACTTGGCTGAAAACAAATATAGATTTTGTTATTAATGGTTAAACAGGTATGTGTAGAGATACAAATGAGGTTTAAGGTGGGGGTTGTATAACATTATTAGAAACAAGAATTCAATTAATTAAATTGTTATCAAAAGAGTTAAATTAGAATACATAGCTGTTAAAGTATGGGATATAAATTAAAGCATCAAAGTAATTGTTTATAATCGTAAAAGAATAAAGCATAAATTGATAGATGAACTAAAAATGAAAGCAATGGAATAGTTATTGAAGAATTAATGGACGATAAAAATCTTGTTTCTTTAAATGATGGAAGGGGTACTAGAGTTAATATGAGAATCGGTAAGTTACAATAATTTCAAATTCGTTTTCAGGATTTAGTTCATGTCACTAACTAAAGATACAGCAATAGGAAGTCACCATTATCCCATAATAACAAAAATACATTTATATACTGAAAAAAAAAGATGGGATGTTTTTGTCTTATGGGCCATCAGGAATTGTGAAAAATCCACTTGAATATGGAAGTTGATTATGAAAATTTCTGTTTGTCATGCCATTTCACAAGCTTTAAGCATATCCACAAAGAAGAAAGGAGGTAGGGTTTATAAAAAGATGGTTCCATGGACAAAGAATGTGACAAAGTATTTAAATAATAAAGCTAAAGTCTAAATAAAGCTTTCAAAATGTAAAAAAGGAATCACAGACCCCACAATCTTCTTGAGTACAAGAGATGTCAGGGAATTGTGTAGAAAGTGCAAAAAAGGATTGTTGGTCAAAAATAAGAAGAATGAATGGGATTAAAAGAGAATATGGTTATCCGATCTTAAGTGATGGTCAAATTACAGCAGTAAAAGTTGAAGAAAAGGTAGAACTGATGGTAAAAAAACCAAATAAACATTGAAATGGCACTTTTTAAACAGGTCACAGAATAGCTCACACAAAACAATGGAAACGAAAGCCCATCACCTACAACTGAATCTCTCAAAAACTGAACAGCTTTTTTTCCCAGCCAAGCCTCCCATCCACCACAATGTTCACACCCAGACTGGATCCCTGTCTCTGACTCCATCAAAGGCAGGAGCTATCCTACCTCCTCCCCGTCCCTCTGGACCCTCTACTCCTCTTTCTGGGCTTCCCTCTATCTCCTCCTGTCTCCACTGACTCTGACTGGGGGTTTCCTCTGGAGAACTTATTGTCAGATTGATGAGAACTGGAACACTGTGTCTGCTTTATAAGTCACTTTGGATAAAAAGCATCTGCTAAATGCATAAACAAAAACCCCAAAACATTTTTAAAAAGCGTATGATAAGATGTGAAAAGGTTTTATTAATTTAAATAAAAATTAGATAGGTATTACAGGAAGGATGTACAGATGGATACAAGATTTTGTAACTACAAGACAAATACAACTAAGAATAGAAAAATTAATATTCTGATAAATATATTGTTAAAAATGGTATTCTACAAGGACGTATAAGTCTTTCATTATTTTCATTAATTATAAATAATGTGTTTCAAAATGTAGATGACAGGATGAGTTTTTGCTGTTGATGGAGCAATGTGGAGAAATGTGGAGGAGAGTTTATTACTAAAAAGATGCAAGAAGCTATTTTTAAGTTGAAAAACAGTTTATATATATATAAATATATATATATATATATACTTTGTTTAATTCTTTCTATTCCTACATGCAATGCTTTTCTTTTGTCAACCAACATTTTCAATATAAAAACCCATTACCTTCTCTCCCCTTAGGTTTACTCATCTTGTCTTCCCCCAGAGTCCCTTTAGAAACGTTTCACACCCACACACTATCAGCCTTTCTGAAAAACCCATATTTATTTTTTCCTTTTCTTAAAATACTTTGTGTTATGTGTATATCTACAGAGGATTCACCTACAATCCCCTATAAGATAACAATCTTCAGAGCTCTTGGTTCAGGAGCTTCCCCTATTTTTCCTCCTTTTTTGTAGTTTTTATTTGTATTTTTTATATTGCTGATGTTTCAAACCTGAATGTTGTTTAATGTGCACACAAAGTTATGTATTGTAGCCTATTGTAGTATTGTAGTATCTATTATAGAAGCCTTCTCCCAGACACTGGCTAAGAACAGTGAGCTCCTAGAGCAAAACTAAGTGGCTAAGATCTAGCTTAAATTACCAAGTTGTTAAAAAAAAAGACTCAGGAACACTGTTTGAAATCCATAAGGAAAGGAGATTTATTTAATGGGATCAAGGAAATATCTGCCAGAGGCTGTGCTATAACTGAGTAAAAAACATAATTCTGCAAGCTCCTGTGGTGTAAGATAAGCGTATCACACAGGATGGTGACGATGAACCTCAGGAGTGAAATAGAACTGCATTCTTCCCCTGTTGCCATCCTCCAGGTGCAGGTGCACAAGACATTCAAAACCAATGGTCTTTACATAGATTGTTCTGAACAGTCACACAAAGGATCAGAAATGTCATAGAAGCGTAAAATCCATAAATTTCCCAACACACAGGATGGAGCACCCAAGGCAAGTAAGCGTCCAGACCGTGACACTGGAGGAAGCCTGGACAGGTCATTCGTCTCATTTTTACTCCATCGTGTTGGTTGCAATGCTTATTAATCACTACAAGTAGATTCAGAAACAGGGGATAGTCTAGTAAAGCCAATAGTTTCCTTAACAGACTCTGAGGTGTTGGAAATACTCCATATATGAAGATTGGTTCCAGGACATCCTAAGACAATGATTTATATTTTTTGGTTCAAATTGTATTTGTCAGCAAATATTAAAGGGCTGTCGCTGACCAGATAGTTTACAAGTCAGATGTTATACTTTGCTATGTCATGAAGGGGTTATTTGCAAATATATCACGGTGTGAAAATAAGTTTGTAATCATACAGTGAAATTTACCATGAATATCAAGCTAAAACAAACTGTTTTTATGTTAGACAGAACTTATCTGGAAGCCAAGGAAGTCTGGTGAATGCTATTAAGAGTTAAATACCAGGCATGAAACATGTGACTCCTGTTGCCATGGTCAGGGATGAGATGACCATCATATGCGTGATGTTTGGTAAATCTGTGAAAAGTTGTAGAAATATCAACTTCCTGTTTCAATGCAAAACATCATCAGAGTTTGGGGTGCTGCCATTCCAGGCCATAAAGCTCCTAACAAGCTCCCAACAACTTTAAAGCTAATCACTTAAAAACAGTAACGTTCAGGACCTGGAGGAGGAAGCTCCACTGACCAGATCCAGCCACTGACCCACCAACCAACAGAATACCTGAGCACAACTGAGCCAAGCACTGTGTGTGTGTGTGTGTGTGTGAGTGCGTGTGTGTGTGTCTGCCTAGGGAATAAAAGTCTCACGACAAACACCTGTCCTGGAGAATCTGTCGAGGCGCCCACGGTGGCTGAACTGCTACACACACACATTTTGGTCCAATTTACAGTCTTTTATGGTTCAGTATGATAATATGATTCAATATGTCTGTAGTGGCCCTTCGGAGTCCGTCAGGGGTCACCACAGGGCATCAACCTGGACTCCATGGTGGGTTCAGCAGAAATCTTTATGGCAGGTGCCCTTTTTGACGCAAACCCTCGCATTCATCTGGACTTCAGACCAGCACAAACCGAACACTGAGAACCACGCAGGGCGGCTTTGCAGGAAACCGGGGACTCAATGTTTTTCCCAAAGACACCTGGACATGTTACCAGGATCAAACCACCTGCCTGCTACAGTATATACGCTTTGGAAAGGTAGAAAATGCATTATAAATCATTACAAAACATGATGATGGTGGTAATATCCATTATTCTCATTATGCTCATCATATTGATATAAATAGAGGACTGAGGAGACTTCTCAGGGCAGAACTGCTCAGACTTTTGTAGCTCCTCCCTCGGTGGTTGCTTCCATCCAATGATCTCCACTGCGCTTTGGTTTCCGGTGTCTCAACCCCACACTCTCACACACAGATACACAACCCAGCCGGCACTCCGCAGGCAGATGCAGCTTTATCCTCAGTGAGACAGCTAGCCATGGCTGACGGAGGAGAGGGCGAGGATGAGATCCAGTTCCTGCGAACAGTGAGTACCGTCCCGGTTCTTCAGGAGTCCGGTTCTGCTCTGGCATCCACTGCGTCTTTCTACTTGGCAGTGTGTGTGTGTGTGCTTGTGTGTGTGTGTGTGTGTGTGTTTGCTTGTGGTGTGGGCAGAGAGTTTACCGCATTAAGGATGGCATCTCTTCACGCGATTGGCCAGAGAGCCCGAGGAATGGGAGGATGGACGAGGTGTGAATAGATAGCAGTGTCCAGAATAAAGCCCCGGTGGGGAGGGGGGATAGGGGG